GTCGTACCGGATTTCCACCCTTTCGCGCGTCGCTGTCTGCTGCCTTACGTGGAAAACGGGGTCGACTGCACCGTTTGTTGTCGAGCAACTCACGTGTGAGAATTTTTCAGCCCCATTCTTTTTTTTTTTAACTTTCTGCTCTCGCGATTCAAAATGGCTCCGACCAGTCGTACAGTTCGCCTGTTCGAAACGCGATCAGAAAAAATACGACGTAAAGTTGCTAAAGATCCAAGACTTCTCAAACTTTACGAGTTTGAGTAAATATTTCTACGGTACTCGGGCATAGAGGTGTATAAACTAGGAATACGAATCGTAAGGAAATTTAGTCGGGAACAACTCGTTGGTATATACATGCGAGTGTAATTTTGAATGTATTGGTGAAATTTCTGCGACACTTTGAGAAGCCATGGCTTAGATTCTTGCTTGGCCATTCTTGCTCTGAAGTGACAGCACGCTCGTACAATCTTCTCTCTTAGGACATAGTTGTCCTTGATCGTCCTGGTACCGGTAATCTGTGCAGTCGCAGGGCGTGTTACGCCGCGATGACGCGCAATTACGCGGCTTCGTTCTCGTCTTAACACCGAAGGTCAGTAATGGCCTCAAATTATTGTAATTCTACTGATCGTACGTTGTGGTAATTTACGTCGGTGCCTCCTTGCTCCGCGGCAACGTCGCGAAACAGTTGGAGAAACGGCCATGTACAAGAAGATGGTGGAAAGAGAGAAACAGAAACCGGAAGAGCGAGACCTATTCACGAAGAGCTGCCACGCGATTCCGGCGAAAAGCATCGACGATACGTGGAACGACAGTGGGGACGGACCGATCCACCTCGAGCTTGCGTGTTGCTCGAAGAAAAAAATCACGTTCAAGCAGAAACGAGAAAGAGAGAGAGAGAGATAGATAGAGAAGGGAGTTAAGATCTGTGAATTCGCCTGGAGATCGATCATGCGGAGTTATCCATCCGTTGGATCTCGAATCGAAATAAAGATCTTCTGGAGGATCCAACGTCAGCCGTGGAATCACGATTAATGGAGGGCGTGTCAAAGGCTGGAATTAGACTGTTATACGGCGCGAGAAAGAGGATGGGGAAAATTCTCTGATTGAACGAAAGAATGTAATATATCCGGTTGGAAGTGGGGATAACCTTGCTTTCAAAAATAGCCGATAAATCGGGGAAGTTTCGTGGAATATGATATATAATTATCAAGGCGAGCAACGTCTGAATATCCTCGACAGTTTAACACCATGACGAGCGCTATCTTTTATCCTGATCTTTTCTTTCAGCACGGGTTTCGCAATATATTTATGCAAATGTAATTATATTGTATAACGAAGAAATGGAGATCTCCATTGAGAACGTTATTACGGGTATAACTTCATATATTCACACTTTCACGTCCCTGAACGAGATACTCGCACCCTTAAGGGGACGTCGATCGCAATTGAGAAGTACTCGCTCGGGAAAAGTCACGAAAGAGAGACAACAGTGGGCGAGGCACGAGGGAAATCCTATGGGCAGACGTTAAAAAGCGCGAAGCAATTAGACGCGAGTGAGGAGGAGGCGCGCGTAGGTCGCGGGTCGGGAAAACCGCGCGAGAGCATAGGTCTCGGCTTCGACTTGTTCGTCGTAAACTTGCCGGAGATCTTAATCTCTCGGAAGGACGCGGTGGAAAGAGATCGGCGGAGGGAGAAGGAAGTGAAACGCTCTCTCGGTGAAGGAGAAATACAGGGGAGAGAGCGGGTGGAATTCTCAGAGAGCGAGGACGCGGTGCGTGCTTCTCGGACTTAATGGCAGTGTAAAGAGTACGGGAAAAGATCGGAAACTCGGCGAGAATAATAAAGAAGGGAGGCACAAGGGTCACGTAGTGCCCCTCTCTCTCTCTCTCTCTCTCTCTCTCTCT